GCCTCAGCCAATGCCCAGGGAGCTCTGGAACTCTAAGGGTGGCTCCTTAGAATTAGCCCAGGTTAGGGCAGGAGGGCTAAGCCTTTGTGTCTCTACATCAGCCAGACACTGGTTGCTTGCTATGTGGAAGAGGGGGTGGCAAACTCAGGCGAGGCACTTCCAAGGCAATTTGCCAGGAGGGACTCAGCTGTGAGTACTGGCATCTAAGGGCTGGGGACATACACCCTGAAGAGAGGTCCTGGAGGAAGCACTGTAGCATCCACTCTTCTGGCAAAAGCTCCTACGTTTGCTTTGGGACAGGTTTACTTTTAGGTGCCTGAGAACCTATTTATCCATTCCTTAGTTCACAAATAACTAGTTAATTCCTTCCTTCTTTCCTTCCTTCCTTTCCTCTATGCCCAACATGGGGCTCAAACTCCCAACCCTGAGATCAAGAGTTGCATGCTCTACTGACTGAGCCAGCCAGGCATCCCAGGGAGGAGTTACCCACAGCTGTGGGATGTACAAGGCGCTGTGCTAACTGGTGGGGATGGTGGGGGTGGTGGGGGCAGAAGCAAGGAGGGAAGATTCAGATACACGGTGTCCAGGCAGCCTCTGTACTGCAGGGGACCAATTCTTCTCTGTCGGAACGGAGTGCCTATTTCCTGCCTTCCCTTCTTAAAAGATGAACCGTGATTGCTATTGCTTTTCTCAGACACCATTCAGCCTTCCCTCCCTTCTCTTGGGCTTAGACAGTGAAAACAAGTCCAAATACCAGTCCCTTTCAAAGAACCTGAGACATAAGGTAAAAGTTTTAAGGGTTGGGAAATCTTACAAAATTCTCCACAGGCCTTGCTCTTTGGCCCACTGTTCCTGAAGAGGAGTCTTTGCTGTTGTGCCAAACTCCACGCCTCTGGCTCTTCTTTGATTCTCTAGAATTCAAAAGACAACACTTTCCCCTTCTCTTTCCTTGGGCAAAGCTGGCTTTCCAGGATTTAGGCCTACAGCGACGGCAGGAGAAAAACATCAGGGCTTCTATCTAGGAGCCAGGACTCAGGAAGTCGTTCAGATATCTAGGGGCCTCCTACACATGGCCAACTTTGGACTGTTACATTAATTAAACAGGGAGTCCATTACTGAGCTGGCTCCAATATTATGGCGGCCAACCCATCCTCAGCAAACCCAAATCTTGGCCTGTAAATACCTCAAGGTGACACAATGCAAAAGCTAAGGACAACCAGTCGCCAACAGCCAATTGGGCTTTAAGCTGTAGCCAATCAAATAATTTCCTTTCTTTGTTTCTGCACCTTCTCTGTCTTTCCCTGGGCTTTTGTGGGCGGAGCCCTTTGAGCCACTTCCGGTTTGGCACTGCCCAATTTGAATCGATTTTTGCTCAAATAAACTCTTAAAAATTTTAATATGCTTCCGTTATCCTTTAACAGACAGACATCTTCTTCCTCCCCCTTCCTCCCCATTCGGGTCTGAGTGGAAGGCATTTCCAAACTAAGGGTCAAGAAAGGGGAAGCGGCTTTGCTACAGAAAATCTATTTATAAAATCACTAACAAAGGATAAGGGGAATCCTTTCCCAGACCTCCCCTCAGTCTCTTTCTGGTAGGCGAATAATAATTTAAATCTGATTATGGTTTCTTTCAAGGGTATGCTTTTGGAAAACACACAAAAATAAATCCCAATTCTATCAATATTTTGATGTTAAAAAGATGACTTTTTGCTGGCCACTCAGCTACGGATCTTGAAATGATCATGCTAGTGTGGAATAGTGTGATCATTCCTCTAAAAACACACCAGCAAATTTAACATATTAAACTATAATCACCCAGGCCTACCTTAGTTGTGAGCTAAAAAAATGCGTAGCTCAGGTCAGGAGACTGTCGGTTTAGGAGCAGTCTGCGAGGCCTTTTGATGGTGAGATAAAGAAGAGGTTTTTCTTTTTTTTTTTTTGTCTCTTCATCCTCAAGGAACACACCTCTTGTGTGCTCTGTCGAACAAAGGAATTTCCGAATTCATAGTGGAATTTGGAGGTAAAGTATTATGTGCAGACTGATATCTATATGCCCTTGCAAAGCCGGTTTCAAACCACAAAAGGATTAAAAGGAAAAAAAAAGCTGGGATTCTGCAATAGACTGATTGGAGGAAAAGCTAAGGCGTTGAGAGTTAGCAATAAAAACAGCAACTAACAAAATCCCAAAGGAGTTGGAATTCCTTTAGTTTCTATTTGGCATAAGAATAATATGGTTCCTTTGTTCTTTCTTATCTGCAGTACTCAAATAATAGTTTATTTCATTCGTGCAGTCCAGTTGCTTCTTCTAAAGCGTTGTGCAAAGCAGAATGGTGCCCAAGATAGCCTTACTTACGGAGAATAACAGAATGAACCTTTGTGTTGATGGTTTGGAAGAGGGTAGTATCATTTTTAAAAAACTCACACTACAAAGATTTTTTTTCCCCCTGCTGTGAATTTCAACAATTTCATAGCATGGGCCGGGATGGGTGCCTTGCTTTTAACTATTGGTCCACCTGGCAAAAGGGTTTCTCTGAAATCCTCTCTGTAAAAATAGAACTCAGCTCATTTGCAGGAAACTCATTTTTTATTTTTTGTGTTTGGCTGTTTATGGTTTTTAAAAGCAGATGCAATGTTATCTGTTGCCGTTTGTGCAAATGATGAATTGTGCTTTCAAACTCATTTCCTCCAGCGAGTTTGACCGAGACACTGGGCTTTGGAAAAAGCTCTGCTCACAGAGTATTTGGCATTATGAAGCCACGAGGCAGTTGTACAAGTGAAGATTCTTTATGATCAAAATAAGAAGTCCGGACTTCGGTGTTGGTAACACAATTCTTGTAAACCATTCGAACACTGCTGAGCTGTGCTTTCTCCGCTTTTAAGAGAGGGAATGGGGGAGGGGCAAGAGAGTGTTTTAAGTAAACAAAGGTTCCAAATCTAGGGAACCCAATTCACTTGGATGTGCGTATTATGCAATTTCATATATCGTAAGGGGGGTGTAGCGTATCAAGATTTCAGATAAGTGAGTCCTTGTATACTTTTCAATGCATGGAATGTTTTTACATGCATACTAATAAAGGCCCACCTTTGGGCGAAGAAAAAAGGTCTCCTTTCAAATGAAATCAAGCCCAGGTAAAGTTGAAACCCAACCCACAGAACACTGGCATCGTTTTCAGGCTAAAAGAAGATGAGTGTTTCGGTTTCATCATCCCGTAACACTGACAAATGTGACAAAATTTGCAGATTGCATTAGGTCTTTCAAGCCACGTGTAAATACGTGCGCCAATTTCTGTGCAACTCCACAAACAATCTGCTGTTTGAAATGAAAGACCAGCGACTCTTCCGTGAGATAATCATGCGGTTCATTTACATGAAAAGTCTTAAATGGCAAAAATGCTCCTTCCAATTTACATCACAGTGTCTCCGTAATGGAGAACAATGGCTTCCTCAATGGAAGTTAATGCGGAGGCATCCTGAGATTTACAGAAAAAACAAGCAACGACAAAACCCACCACCAACTTTTCTGCCTACTTTGCAAATATCAACCAATTAACCTAATTTAAAAGAAAAAGCACCGAAACATCTTCCCAGGCTGGGTCTTCACCGCTACTGGAGTGATATTGCTTATGTTTAGAGTGCGGCCGATCACACGCAAGTGAGCCTTTTTAAAGAGCTTGTGGTGACACGTTTTCAGATCCTTCCATTTTGTCCTGGTTCCTGGGTCAGCACAATTAGGTGAACATGGGGTTTCTCTCTCCTTTAAAAAAACAACAAGAAAAACCCTTCCAATTGAGCCCACGTCTGTGAAAGAGGTAGGACCCAGGACCCAGGGCTGGATAAAATAGCATACCTCGTCTGCTGGGAATATATTGTGTCCTTCTCGTTTGCATTAACGATGATGCACAGCTCTGTGGTCTGTACGGGGTTTGTACATGTATCTTTTTTGCGTTCTGTAGGCTATGACCACCTGCTGTATGTACTCTACGTGCTTGCTATATTTGTACACTGTCTCCCTTCTTGAATTTAAAGACCTACCTATTGCATCGTGTTTACTCAATATCGTTCCCCCATTGGGGGGGGGGGGAATCCTACAAGAACCGAACATGCCATGTTTCAATCTGGCCCCAGTGGCTTTTTTCTCTGAAAGCAAAACGTGTGCCTTTTACACCAGGGCTTTCTCCCCACCCCAGGGGGTGTCTTCCATTCTTTTGTGGCTCAGTTTAAGGCGAAAAGGGCTCCAAACCACTAACTAGACAGAGGAGAGCCCCTTTTTCCACCTCCAAGGAGAATCTCCGATTTAATTTCTCCGAAGATAGCGTGCTCTCTTCTTACTTATTTGCCACCATTGCGAGGAGAACAAAACACCACCTTGGCGTCAAGATCCCGGGTAGAGGCTCACGGTCTTTTTCAACCATCTTTGGCGAGGCCTTGCTTCCTTCCACTCGAGTAAGTTGCGGCTCGGGGCCACGGCCAGGACGGGGTGAGCGCCCGAAATGTCGTTGGCATCAAAAGAAAAAAAAAAAAAAGCGGCCTTCCCTGCAGCCCCTGAGCACCCGCACCCCGCTCCCCGGGGCGAAGCCGCCACCCGGCAGCCCCGTAGAGGCGCGACTTGGCAGGTCCGCCGCCGGGCTGCTCTCGCCGCCGCCGCCGCCGCGGAGTCGGCGCCGGCCGGGCGTCCGCGCCCGCCCGGCTGCGGGGGGCTTCGCGCTCTCGCCGCCCTTCTCCCCGAATCCTCCCTTCCCCCCACCGGCCGCCCCCTCCCCCTCTGCCGCGCTCCCTTTTGTTCGCTCGCCGCTCGGGCCGCCGCCGCCGCCGCCGGGCCCGCACCCCCAGCCGTAGGCCCCGGCGTGGCGGGCCGCCCCGCCGCCGCCGCCGCCGCCGCCGCGCGGCCTAGAGCGCGCCGCCCGGGGAGGCGCGGGGCCCGGGCCGGGCGCACGGCGAGGCCGGGGCGGCGGCGGGGCGGCCCGGGGGGCGCGGGAGCCGGCAGCCCGGGCGGCGGCGGCGGCGGCGGCGGCGGCGAGGCCGCTCCGCCGCACACGCACACACAGACCCCGGCAGCGGGAATGCGGATGACACGCCCGTAACATGGAAGCCGCCGCCGCCGCCGCCGCCGCTACGACGACAGCAGCAGCAGCAGCCACAGCAGCAGCAGCCGGCGGCGCCGCGCTGAACAAAGGTCATCCGAGCTGCGGCCCAGACGCCCGGGCTTGACCGCTGCGAAGGCCAACCCCGGGAAAGGGGGTGGGTGCGCGCCCGCGGGGCGGGGGGCGGCCGGGGGCGAGCGAGGGGGGCGAGGGCAGCGCCGCACGGGGCGCGCGGGTGGGCTGCGGGGAGAGGCGGGCGCGCCGGCCCCGCGTGCCCACCCCTGCGGGCCGGGGCGAGCGCGTGAGGCTCAGGCCCCTTGGCCTGCCTGCAGTGGCCTGTCCCACCCCGGCCTTGGGGACAGGCTGGCCCTCGCGCCCCGCCAGCCTCCTCCTTGGGGGGGCCGAGGCCGGGCCGGGTTCGCTAGGCCCCACAGGTTCAGAGAGGGGGGCCACGTGAGCGCAGGAGCCCGCTCCTTCCCCCCCCCCTCCGGCGCTGGCGGCTCACGGAGGATTCCTGAAAGGCCGCTGAGCCCCTCTTTTCTCGCGCCCCTTGACTTGCCCCCCACCCCAGGCATCCCTAGTTTCCTTCCCCGAGGTGAAGGGATTTGGACTCCCCCCCACCCCCCCACCCCAGGTGCCTGAAAGAAGAGAAGGTTGGAGGAGGAGGAGACTGGGGGGGCGGCTGGCGGTGGTGGTGACCGGGCTGGGAGAGCGAGGAGAGGGACGGGAGGAGGGGGCTGGGTGGGGTGGGGGTGACAGGCAGAGAGGAGCCTGGTCAACAAGCCAGCACTGCTCTGCTGGGAGGCCGAGGCCGCTCCTGCAGCCGACGCTTCCAGTGTGAGCAGACACACATAGATTGCTTTCTTGGGGGCTCTTTGTCAGCCACCCACACAGAGAACACACACTGACACACAGGTACACAAAGATGTGAGCCAGGTTGTGGGAGGTAAGTGGGGGAAGGAGAAGGAGGGGGCACCAGTGTCTGCGGTGGGCTTCGGGGTGGAGGGGCAGGGGGGATGGGGCCCCGAGGGGCTCTGGGGGTGCCGGGGAGCCGAGCATTTCCAAGGCTGTGTGCTTGTGCGGCGGCGGGGGGCCACACGATGACCTTCCCCTCCTCACCAAGACCTGAAAGGGAGCAGCAACCCCCAGCGAGGTCCCCTCCGAGCTGATGATTTTCAGGGACTTGTTGGCAACTCAGGGAGGGTTGCCATAGCTTTTTTATGTAGGGTGACCAGAACCGGCTGAAACTGGTTTGAGGCAGATCAGCTCCTGAACACAATGCAGTCACTGAGCTACTACAGTGGGATAGCAGCTTCCTCCCTTCATGGCAGCCAAAAGCAGAGGACCTTGCAGGAAGGTACCACCCCAACACAGTATGTGAATGCACACTTAGACACCACACAGCACTGGTACGTGGCTAATGGAGCCCTGAAAGGTTCTGTGTAGAGAAGATGGGGAAAAAGGTGCAGGTTTGCAAGGTCTGAGATTACTTGGGCTTTTCCTGCCTTTTTCTTTTGCTTAGGGGATGGACAAGGAGCTGAGATTTATGGCCCTTATTAAAGAAAAAATGTGCCTTGCTAGGGTGGGGACACTTGGTGTATGCAGTCTCTCTCTCTCTCTCTCTCTCTCTTTCTTTCTCTGTGTTTTTAACAAAACAAAACCAAAATGAACTGATGGGTTTGTAATGGGAGTTTGTTGCTGGAGAATGCTACTTTGCATGCCTTTTTTTTTCTTTCTCTTGCAGGGAATGTTCTGTTTTGTGCTTTTCCTTTTAGAAGCTACTGAAGGGTGTTGGGGGTACTTCTGACTATTATGAAGGCCAAAAGGTAACAATATTGTTCTAGGAAATGAGCAGAAATGCGTTCCAGTGATGCTGTGAGGCATACATGCTGTCTTTTTTTTCCTTGTAGGCCTGTTGACTGGGGCTGCTTTTAACCCTTTCATATTTGCAGAGAATGCAACCGTGTGACAGTAACTGAACACTGGGCCAAAGTCTTTTCCAAAAGGTCAAGGTTCACAAGGTGAGATATGATATTTTGAGCATGAATTTCCGTGTTTATTTGAAGATCCATTCCGAGGCAGACTGCCAGTGGAGTGGTACCCTGGAGAGAATTTTGGGTTTCAGAGTGGAGAAGAAATACTCTTAATGTTATCCAAGGGTATGGGGCTCTAGGGTGGTATAGCTATCCAGACCAAATCAGAATGACTTCATTAACTGGCATGTGGGTAGTCCTTTGAAGGAGGCAGGCCTGGAAAGGGGCAAGTTTTAAGAGAATGGTAGGCTTCAGGGCCTTGTGGCGAATGCACTGTTTTGCATAAGACCGAAGCAGCACACACACAGCATTATCCCCGTCGATGACCAAAAAAAAAAAAAAAGAAAAAGAAAGAAAAAGAAAAAAGGAAGGACTTGGCCAAATCGAGGCAGCCTAGCCTCCTTTTTAGGATTTGAGGAGTCTGAAGGTAGCTTTGCCTTTTTTTCATTCATCACCTTCCTTTTCCCTTGCGCTCTGTGTTAACCTGAAAGGTTTTTCACTCCCGAGTCAAGTGGTGGAATGGCTTTTATTGATTTTGGGGGCTGTTGACGGTGAGTTTGCCATTGGATTATTTGTGGCATACATTTTAATGCGGAATGCTAATTCAGTACCAGGAGGAAACCGGCTAGTGTGGCTTCGTCTGTGAAAACATGCCTGTTAACTCCACGCTTTACAGCAGTGGCTGGTAGAAAATGTCGGATGCCTAAAGAGCTTGCAGTCAGAATTGAGCTGGCATTTTAATGCACCCCCAAACCCAGAGGCTGGAGAGTAGCAGAGAAGAGAAAGCAGCAACGAGGGCAGCAGAACGAACAAAGGCAGTGAGGCAGTGAGCGTTTACAGGGCAACACTGCCTTGGGGTTCCTTGCAAAAAGACTGCAGCTTCCCCACACAGGAAGCCAGCAGCTCTAGAATGCTCTCCAGTAGGATCTCCACAGCCGATAGAGGAGTAGTTCTGTCTGCTGCTTTGGGAGAAGTACAGTCCAGAGGCGCCCGCGGAAGACAGGCTTGGAAAGAAATTTCGCCCCTGCTTTCAAGAGGCGATGCTGTGCCTCTCCCATTTCAGCAGAAGAGAGACTTCAGAAATGCCCAGGATCTCAGAAGATGGGAAGCTGTGTGCTGGCAGCGGATGGGTGGGCAGACTCCCTGCAGCGAAGGGTGTCAAGTACGCAAGGGTTCCTTATTGTTAAGAATTTTTTCATGTGATCGCAGAAGCCTCTTGGGTGTGAGAAAACTGGTGAAAGGGAGGAAACGAGGGCATGGTTAGCTCAGGGTGCGTGGTGTAGTATTTAATAAAGATCCATGTAATCTCGGGCTGGGGTACCAGTCAGTAGCTAAAATTCTTCACAAATCACGGTGCTAAAATTGGTTTTCAGCTCAACACCGGTTTCGACTGCCAGAGAGGTTCTGTGTGTGAGTGGGGTGGAAATCTGCTTGCGAAGCAGATCGTGACCCACGTTGCGTGATCTGTTCCTGCCTTTCTGGTGCCAACTAAAACTCAGATGGCTAATGTGATAAACCTTCATTAGCTTAATACAGTCAGTTGTTTTCTAATGGAGCCCTTCGCTCCTGTCTTTCGGAAGGCCGTGATTTTTATTTCACTTGGACGGCCATCCCCTCGCAGTGGCTGTTTCTGGACAGTAGGTTGAAGAGCCCTTTTTGGAAGGCACTGCCTGTCACAGAACGTTCTGGTTTACTCTCTCTGTGGTTTTTAGCTTTGTTACTCCTCCTCCGCGCCCCCTCCCCCCCCCAAGGCTCCTGGAAAATGCGCATTTGTTTTGCATTTAGGCCCGTCTTTCCAGCTGCAGGTGCTGTTTAAGCCTGGAGAGCTGGTTCTCCAGGCCAGCAGTCATCTGTGGACTGAGAGCTGGCTCAGGTGGCGATCTCTTGCTGGGGAAGAAAAATGTAGCAGGCCCAGGTCTCCGAGAGAGGCGTAGAGAGGTTTCTGGGCTGGGGAATGTGAATGTGAGTGCAGGGAAGGAGAAGGAGCAAAGCAGCGGTCCCTTGGAAGAGCCAGGAGGGAACAGGGCGGCGCCCACGCTGGGGCCAGGCCTGTGTCCCGGCCGCCTCTGTCGCCAAGCAGGCAGCCACACCTGGAGCCTGGTCGGGATGGCCTGCAGCAGTCTCCAGGGTTGACAAGATGGCCATCCCTCTCTGGAGATGGGATGTGTGGGTTTGGCTGATGAGGGGACACTGGAAAGGAAGTGGCACAGGGTGGTCGAACCTTTGTTTTTATCATTTGCCTCCCTAGGATGATTTGTTCTATGTTAAGAAACCCTGGAGTGGCGGCTTCTAGGGCTCTCAGAGTCCTGGTCCAGGAGAAGAGGCTGGCTTCTCTCCTCTCTTTCACCTCTCCTTGTGAGCAAAGAGATTCCATGGCCCCATGCACTTTGACTCCTTTTTAAAAAAAGGGGTTATGGGAGGCAGGGAGCCAGCCTGGACGTGGAATTTTCTGTGCACGCCCTTGACCAGGAGGAGGTGGAATTTTCGGATTTTGTGTCTCCTGTCCTCCTTGATTTCTCCCCTCGAAATGCATTCTTGGGTCTGTCTTCTGTTGGTTTTGAATAACCTTCCTCCTAGCCTTGCTAGAACTCCCCATCTAGCCGTTCGCAGCTGGAGCAGAGGGTGCCCTGATATGGGACCTCAGGACAGTTGCCAACACAAGGGAAACGGAAAGCATCTGGGGAAGATGTGGGGCTGCTCCCCCCTCCTTCCGCGGACATCTCTTCCTAATCAGTACAATACAGTAACCACATCCATTGAGGGAATGAAACGTTAAGGAAATCTACACCTTTGTGTTGATTATATGTAATCTTTAACCAAGTCATGGTCAAATAGCTAACTTTTCTTAACTTTTAAATTCACATACAGCGAAAGGTACTCTGTTGGGTTTAGTTTTATGGGTTTTGACAAGCGTACGTAGCGCTGTGTATCTGCCACCACAGGGAAGGGGTCCGTCAGTCCCAAAACTTTCCTCCTGCTGACTGTTGGTAACCCCGTTCTTCCCACCCCAACCCCTGACGCCGCTGATTTGTTCTGGCTTCGTTCGCTTAGCGAAGGGCGTTTGAGACTTACCCGTGCCATCGCGGATACCCATTCTTGCTGCTTTTCTCTTGCCAACTTGTACACCACTCTGTGGACCTGTCACAGCTGATCCATCCCCTGGCTGGAGGACCTTAGGGTTATTTCCACTTGTGGGTGCTTGGGAAGAGAGCTGCTGTAAACCTTTGCATGTAGGCTTTCGTCTGAACGTACATTTTTATGTCTCTTCCCTAAATACTTACGGGGAGTGGGACAGCGGGGTCCTACGGTAAGTACTTGAGAATTAGAAGTTTGAACAAAAATACACTCAGCACTTCTGCTTTGCTCCTGAGAGAGGTCTGGCCTCGTTAGCTGCAGTTGAGACTTCCCAAGTAAGAGATGGCAGCGAGCATTATCTGAAGACACACGAGAGATGATTATGATAATAGACCACTCACTAACGGGATGACATGCTTTATAACCCAGAACTAATCGGAATTAGCCAAAAGTGGAAACAAAAAACCATGAGTGGTAAAATATCCTTTATTTCCTACAGCAATTATTTTTTTAATCTCTTCAGTAGCGTTTGGCAGTTTTAATCTTTACGTTTGTCTTCAGGTTCAGTAAGACACCAAACAGTAACACTCAGAATTTTGGAACGTGGTACCAGAGACCTTTGCTGAAATCTGAAATAACTTTAATAGTTATTATTGAGCTTTTATGCCTTTTAAGGAAGTGAAAATATTTAAGATCTGGGTGATGAAGTAGGGAGATTCTTTTTTTTCTAAAAATTTTTATTTATTTTGAGAGAGAGGCAGGAAGAGGGCAGAGAGAGAGAATCCCAAGCAGGTTCCACACCGGCCGTGAGGAGCCTGATGTGGGGCTCGAACTCATGAACTGTGAGATCATGACCTGAACGGAAGTCGGAAGCTCAGCCTAAACCGAGCTACCCAGGTGCCCCCACATTTTTTAAAATTTTTTTATAGGATAAAATAGCGTTCAGGGTTGGGCAGAACGCATGGACCAAGGCTGTGGTGCTGTAGGCAGAGGAGAGCCCGAGAGGTGGGAAGTGATGTTAATTTGGGGATTATTTCCTCCATTTTACAGCTGCCGAATGTTTACTGAGCACCAGATGTTGAGCTAGGCACTGGGAGCATCGAGGGGAAAGGAATCCGGAGAGAACACTCTAGTGGGCGGTAGCCTACGGATCCTAGGGTAGGAATGTGAATGAGCCGCCTAATGCCCCGCGTGGAGAGGGACGGCCCTTGAGGAGGTGGCTTCTGTGCCGAACCGTGAAAGACGAGTGAGTAGGTGCAGGAGGCAGAGACTGGGGGAACAGCATGAGAGTCCGGTGGAACAGCCTATGGAAAGGCGCTGAGCGAGCCTGGTGTTGTGAGTGGGGAATGGGAGAGTAGGGGTGGGTGTGGGAGAGTAGGAGTTGAAATTAGGAGGCAGTCAGGGGCCTGACTCCCGCAGGTCATTCCACATGGTCCATTTGCGTGGGGACTTCCTTGTGTAGGCAGTGTACGCAGAAAGCCTTACTTGTAATGACAGAGGTCCCAAGGCAGTATCTAAGTGGGACGTGGTGGTCCCTAAGGAGGGAACACTGCAGCAGATCTAGGAGAGGAGGTTTTGATCCGAGGCCTCATTGGGATGGAGCGGTGGTGGGTGGGGTAGGGGTGCGCCCCTTACTAGAAGTAGGGGTGGTGGAGCGGGAGGAGCAGAGGAGAGCGCCACGTTTGCTCCTCGGGGCGACTTGCTGCTGGGGGGTTTTGTCTGAGATCCTGCATTCAAAAGGCAGAATGCACTTGGCGGGTGGATGCGATGCTGGGAGTTCAAGTTTGGGTTGGGTTGTCCATGGAAGTGGCCTTGGCTGCCTGGCTCTGTTTGGGTTGGAGGTCTTTACCGAGAGGAATTGGCGTAGAACAGAGATGATAGACAAAGAAAGATGGAAAAAAAAGTGGAGGCTGGGGTTCTGTAAGGTGATGGTTTACATAGTTAAAGCCTTAAAGAAGGTGGGGCTGAAGAACTGAAGATGCACGCTCTGGAAAACTGGAGGGTAAGACATTTCTGGAGAGGCAGAAGGTAGTATTGGTGGCTGACACCTGCGGACCCTGCCGTCCGTCTGGTGATTCTTTCCGTCGGTTACCTCCTGTAGTGCTGAAACACGGAGATGAGCTGTGTCCTTCTTCCCCCCCGTGCACAGGTGGGAAAGTGACCCCAAGACCCTGGCTGAGGCCTGCTGGGTCATAAATGAGAGCAGAGACAGAATTTGAAGCCTGCTGCTCGCCACTAGGCTGTTTGGCTTTGGGGGAGCAGAATTGGTGGGCATGAGGAGCCCACGGAAGGTGTTTAGGGGTGTGGAAGCTAGGAGGAGGAGCCTGAGAGAGGGCACAGGTGGGCGTTAGACAGTCAAGGCCCTGATAAGGTTCAGGTTAGAGGTGGCAGTTGATGCCGGCCAAGGCAAGACTCCATAATGGGAATGCGAGTCTCCCTGGTAATTAGCCCTGTTTTCCTGACTTCATTCATCATGGGAAGAGGCGACTGTACCCCCGAGATGGTGTGGGAAATAGCGGGCTGAAGAGATTGTGTTCTTACTGGGCACTATGGGGTGAGGATACACATTGGAAGGGAGAAGGAAGAGAGATGTTTTTGTTTTTGTTCTATTTATTCTTTGAAAAGGATGAACTTGAATGGAAAGTCGCGCTGAGAAGAATCTTTGGTTTCAGTAACAGATAAACATAGTTGGTTAAAAGAATTCTTTGAACCATCTTCTGCAGACAGGAAGTTCTGACTTTTTCCTCTTTTAGAATGAGAGGGAGAGCAAATCCTACGTGATCTAAATCTGGAGACTGAAATAAGTAATTTTCGACAAACTCAAAGTGGCCTTGTTAGCTGTCCCAAGCATTCCCTACTAAGTAGCCTGTACTTGGTGGTCGTTAGGGCCTAAAAGTGCAGGTTTTGTATTATTTCCGGTCCGTATTCGTACAACTTGATGTAGTTAGAGATTCCAGACTTCTTGCAGGGCGTATAGAGGCCTGGAGATAAAAATCAAGGTGTTGTAGTTCGTGAATGTTTTCTCAGCCCAGCTTCTTCTTTTTGGGACACAGACTTGCTTTCCGGAGGCTGACTCATTGGTCTCGTAATGGGTATTGATTCTGATCATTTGTTTGTGAGGGACAAGTTCTTTCTAGGGACTGAATCGTAATTAGGCTGTTGAAAAACTTACCAGGTTAGAAAATTCAGAGCCCTATGTGTTTTTTTTTAGTTCCGTTTTGGTTTTTTTTGGCTTTTCTTGAAGATCCCTTAGCTAGCAATACTTCAAATATTTATACTTGCCTCCTCGTTTTCTACAGTGGGCCCCAATGGGGGGGGGGGTCAGGGGGGAGAACTGGAACCCAGCGCTCCGGCCTCCTGGTATAAGACAGGTTGCGTCATTACTATCCCTCTGCCTTCCAGGGTTTATTATGTGTTTAGTGGTGTCAGAGCGAGCTCATATTTACAGTTCGTACGTCACGTGAGCCACCCAGGGGCTCCTTGGGAAGCTGGTCTTCAGCTGTGCGGCTGATTTAACGTAGCAAGAATGGGAGAGGTAGTTGGAGGTCTCCGGTTGGAGAAGTGATCGATCATGCCTAGTGGTCTGGTTAAACATGGGGGCTCAGTGCATGGAGATTTCCGGTTGCCTTTGCCTCCCTCTCAGTGACGCACACCTGTCTGCCCTTCCCTTGATGATGTAAGTCTGCCTTCTTCCACCGATTGGCCGTGGGACCTTGAGCAAGTTCCTTAGATCCTAGGCCATGCTTTTCTTGAAGGTCTTTACGAAGAGTAAATGCGTATAAAGTGTTTAGCAGAGTGCCGGGCACGTGGTAAGTCTTCCCTAAAATCTTGGCTGTCCTGTGCTCCTCGCTGTCCCTGGTTTAGGGGAAGGGGCTTTGCCCTGAGATTCTTTTCTCATCTTAGAGAGTATTGTTTCTCCTCTCGTACCTTTTACTTCGTTTTTAAGTAGATTTTTTTTTTTTTTTTTTTTTTGGCCCAGGGAAATACACAGTGAGCGTCTCTTGCCTTGTCCGTTGAGGTCTTCAGTTACAGCTGCCCTATGTCTGGCTTAAAGTGGGTGGGAAAAAAAAGTAACAAAGTGGGTGACATGTAGGCGGGGGTGGGGGGGTGGGGGGGAAGGTATAGCATCCTTGTTTCCACCTGGCCAGACATTGGTTTGTCGTTGGAAAATGTTGGATGAGTTTCGTAATTATTAGCTGGTCCTTTGTCTCTGCCTCCAGACGGATCCACCCCAGTCCATGCTGGCCATAGTCTAGTTGGCATCATTGACGTTGACCAGAGCTAAAAACCCAAATGGAACCTGACGGTGAAAACGCAGCGGGTTAGCCACAGCCTCTATTCCGTCTTTTCCCACGTCACGTTGCTTCCCACATTTGCTTGGCAACGGCCAGGTATTCATTACCTTGCACACTGGGATTTGCTGGGGACGGAAGATGGAGTGGAGAGGGCTCTAAGGAATCTGTGGATCGTATTTGAGGGTCTAAAACTTTTCTGTCCGTATGGGGGGCACTAGACACGTCTGGCCACTGAGTTTGGAAGGGGGCTGGGCCTCACTGGTGAGCTGTAAGTGGCATGAAGACACACCAGGTTTTGAAGACTTCCACAAAAGTGGGGAGGGAAGGAATGTAAAATATTTCATGAATGCTTTTTTATATTGATTACAAGTTGCAATGACACTATTTTTGGTTGAATACAAATCATTACTAAATTAAAATTATCAAAAGCATTAACTTAAGAGTTCTTCTTCTCCCCCCCCCCCTTTAAAAAATCTGAATCCTAGAAGATTTAAACATATATACATGGCTTTCATTCTTTTCCTGTTGGGACAGGGCTGCTCTGGAATGTTGGATGGACAGCTAAATAAATTTAGCAGTGCAATTTCTCTGGTGCCCTGAAGTATTCATAGTCATTGACGTTGAGTTCCCCTCTTGGTTGAACAAGATAGGGTAAGAATGACGTGATGTCTCCTTGTTAGAGAAACTTGTGCTCTCCTGGCTTGGACCTCTTTTCTGTCCCAGGTGTTCCTTGTTCATCCCTCTGCGTTACAGGACCTAGACAGCCACGCCAGGCGGGGGTCTGCTTCCGAATGGAAAGGCAGCGTTGATCTCAAGTTTGTCATGTGCTGGCTGCTAGATACTTACCGTCCCCTATGAAGCATAGTTAACCCCGCACATGGGATCCAAGAGACGTGAAGTGAATGTCCCTGGTGGTACCACCAGTGAGTGACTGACTGTAGATTTGGACCAGGGACGACCTGGTTTTGAAATCACACTGCCCTTTGCAAATAGCGGCTCCTGCCCGGTGCTGGTGTCTTGTCCTGCCCATTGTCCCGGGCCTGGTCCTGGGGGCCCTTATTGTCTCAGTAGCATTTCTCACTCTTTAATTTTCACGTAAATCACATGGGACATTGTCGGATAATGCCGGTAGTGATTCCTAGGGCTGGTGGGGAAAGAGTCTGCATATCTGATGAGCCTGCAGGTGATCTGCTGGTCCCTGGACCACACTTTGAGTAGCAAGGGTCTGCACTGCTCCCCTTGGTGTCGAACTTGCTTCCTCTGCTTCCAGAGTGATCCGACTCCCCAAAGCCTCCTGCCTCTGCAGGGGCTCCCCCTGTGGCTTTGCATGTGATGCCGGTGAGTGCAGATGACGCCAGAGCCGGGTTTTGCTGGTTTGAGCCGAGACTGGCACGGACGCTGATTTCCGCGCGCGCACAATCTGACCGGGTCCATTTCTTCCTGTTCCTCCGCAGCTGCGTCACGCCTCCTTGATGAGCTTGACCCCTTTGGCACCTGTAGTCTAATGAAACAGAGGATAATTTTAGTACTGAGATATGTGGCCGGGGTATCCGTTTTAAGTCCTCGTGAGGAAGACTGTCAAACCTTAAATCTAGACTGGCGTCAGCACCTGGTGGGAGGTGAGGCCTGGGAGCTGTGGGCCCGCTGCGGTGTCCGCCTCCACGCCTGATGGGGAACCGAGGGCACTTGTGAAGGGGGTCACCGTGAGCCCACCTCACACAGGGGTGTTGAAGACCGGCTAACAAGCACCACTAGCTTCTCCAGCATGTCATGGAGAGAGCCACCCTGTGGTCCTTGGGTCCGGGGTTCTTGGGGAAGGGCTTGGTCTTTGGTCCAACAAGAAACTGAGTTTCAGGAAGGAGTCCGGTGTATGACGTGTTGGAACTCTGAGAGACTGTGCAAAACTCTAGCGTGTTTTTTAAATTTGGGATGATGCGTATTCATTAAATAAGCTAACGCTAGAGCGACGTCTCTACATGAGAGACTTACCATCCCCACGTCTCTGTAAGGAAGCTCCATTTCACAGGCCTCCTCGTTGAATTTTAATTTGTCACTGGGCCTGTGGACCCTGCGTTCTAGGGTATGTGAATCTGGCACATCGGGTAGGATGTTTAACGGTCGGCCAGATCTGTCAGCTCCCTGTTCGGTACGGAATCCTGTGCCTGGTGTGGGAGTGTCTGCCTGGCCCGCGAGTGGCTGTCGAGGCGTCAGAGATTGCTGGAAGGGGAGTGGGGCCAGCCCTGGAGAAGGGTTGGAACCGAGGAGGTTCGCCTGAGTTGGGGTGAGTTCCGAGCGCAGTGGGGTCTGAAGCCTTACGGGGAGCACACCAGGCGCCAGGGTAAGTTAGGAGTCAAAGACTAGGTAGATGGACACCCGGAGGAGGAAAGGAGGGACAGCGAAGGCGGGTGGGCACAAGTCTAGTGGACAGACAAGAACGAGCAGAATGCGAGGCTGTGGCACAAGTGGGTAAAAGGACGGCAGAGATCGGGCGATGATGGGAACCACGTGCGTGCCCGTAGCAGAGGCCCCCGGAACGATTGTGGGGTGAGAGCACAGGTGAACGAGTGAGGGCAGTGTGAGCCTCCATTGCCGGTGATCCCTGGATAACGGAGTCAGAACCAGCCTCTCCTGGCAGCCTTCACGTGCCAGGGCGAGTGGGGACCCTTGTTGCTCAGGGGCCGAGGTGGGGAGTAGGGATTGGGAGGAGCAGTGGTGCCTGACGCGTAAGGGTCACACGGGAAGGCATTAGAACACTAGACTGCTCGCAGTGTGCGTGACTTCACGGGACACACGATCAAGACCTAGCTTTTCAAACTAATGCAGTAAGAAGAGGAGCCGATCATACGGCCGTGGCTGGGGCCAGGACGAACTCCAGTGTTTTCTTGCGTGAAGTTTACTGAGTCCTTTCCAGGGCCACCCGTCCTTGCCTGTCTCTTTGCACCTCTCCCTCAGGAGAACGGCATACTCTTTCTGGTGCGCTCGGCAAGGGTGGCTGTCCCGCAGGCCCTGTGTTTCCACGTCCTTCTCTAGACTACTAGGAACATCACCTGTGTTCCTCAGTCCCACTTCTGGTTCTCAAGGCCACCATCTGGCTGGTCCCGGTCTAATCAACTGTGGCTCGGAGGGCAGGGTTCCCCCTAACCCTACATGGGTGATCGTTTTCACTGGGCTTGTGAAGCATCCCCGAGGGGTCTGCTGCTTGACAAGGGGGTGGTCCCACCCTGTTTTATGCCTGAGAAGCTGGAGGCTCTGAGAGATGGACACACAGCTCAAGGATGAGTTGTTGGGAGCTGGCATTCCCACCTGGATCTTTCTGACCCCAATTCTACACCCTTTACCGTTCTTCAGTATAATAGCTAAGGTGTATGAGCTCTTCTGAGTCTAGAGATGGGATCTTTTTCCCGTTTTCTATTTACTCAAAATCACAAAAACAGTATGTTTAGCTTTTAGCCTTTGCTCCATAAATGCATAGTGCTTGCCGATTGTCTGAGTAATGCATTGGACTGAGACCCGGGAGGTGGGGAATTTGGACAGATGGCTGGAGGATTTGTTCAGGCCTCATGTTTAGGGTCTCATGGGTACATAGATGTGTACTCGAGGCCCCTCCTAGGTAGGTGTGTGTTGAAGCCCCTCATAGCTACATATCTCTTTGGCAAGAGGCAAGTCTGGTTTACTGGGCCAATATTAATTTTGGGAAAGATTAAACACATAGTTTAGCACTTGAGTAAGAATAATTAGGCTTTAATGGTTTTGATTTCGATGACTCATAGAACCGTAAGACATTTCTGTTCCTCTAATCTTGAGCATGAGGGTAGTGTTGACCTCTATTGGAGTTTCACATTTAGCTCTAACCTCTTTGGTTACACAGCGCTCTTATTTCAGGTCACTGAGGGTAGGAAAAATTTGTTTTGTATCTGTTGTGCTGCTTAGAAGACCTTGCCGGGCCGTCCATCTGCAAAAGGCACTTAAGGATGTTTGTTCTGGGGCGCCTGGGCGGCTCAGTTGGTTAGGTATCTGACTTCGGCTCAGGTCATAATTTTGTGGTTGGTTCGTGGGTTCGAGCCCCACGTCGGGCTCTGTGCTGACAGCTGAGAGCCTGGAGTCTGCTTCGGATTCTGTGTCTCCCTCTCTCTCTGACCCTCCCCTGCTTGTGCCCTGTCTCTCTCTAGCTCAAGAAAAAATAAAACGTTAACAAAAATTGAAGAAAAATTAAAGAAAAAAAAAAAAGGATATTCATTCTGTCCCAGGTCATTGCTGGGACTTCTGATGGCATTGATCGTGTTCTCATCACCTGTCCTAGACCATCAGAGTTGTGGCTTCATTTCTTCTAGGGCTTTCCCTGTGCTAGAATCCTCTTGCTGACCTTGTTTTGATGTTGTGATAACTCAAAGTAATAAGTACTTGCTATATTCCAGATACCCCACGTAGGAGTAAACACCTACCTGGATTGTTCAATGTAATGTTCACAGTAACCCTACGAAGTGGATCTTGTTATTTCCATTTTTCATTTGAGAAACAGAAGCTTAAGGAGGTTAGTCACTTGCTCAGTCTTGTAGCTTGCAAGGGAAGAGCCAGGACTCCCTCTCGTTTGTCTTACCCCAAAGCCCATGCTCTTAACCGCTACAGCATACTGTGGTTTAGAGGTGTCATTGCTACAGCTAGTCGGCGGCAGGCTCAAATATCTTTGAGGTTCAAAGCCACTGCTTCTGGGTCAACTAGTATTTCTCTTGTTGTCTGGATCTGTGAGGTATTTCTGGCTTTCTCCGTGACCCTGATGCGTCGTGACTCTGGGTACTGAAAGTAGGTACATGTTGAGAGGTCCCTTGCTCCCTTTCCTGATCTTTCTTCCTTTAGCATACATATGTGTACCTGCTTGCGTGCTTAAGCATTTTACAACACAAATCGCCTCCTTTGGGCAGGGATTGTTCAACCAGCCGATCAACGTTTTTGTCATCATTTCTGTGGCTAAAAAATTAAGGCAGAGCCCCTTGAGACTTGCCATTTTATTGTTCTTCCTCTGTATTTGGACATTTGTTATATACTCTTTCCTGAGTCATCTTGGGTCCATGGGAGGTGCCCATGAGAGAGGAGCTACC